GCGGCGGTGTAGACGGGGCCCGCGGCCAGCGGCCCGCGCATGGTGCGCCGCGGAGGCTCCTGCGCGCTCGGCGGGGCTCCCTGGGGCGCCGCGCTCGCTCGTGGCTCCCTCGTCCGCACTCTGGTCTTTTACCTCCTCTGAGTCTTTCTCTCCCTCCTTGGTCTCCCTCTTTTTCTCTCTTCAGGCCTTTGGTCCAGCTCCTCCTTTTCCTCCTGGGACCCGAGCATCCTGACCCGGCCTCACGCCAGGCTGCGCTGAAGTGATGCGCTTCCCTGGAAGACGGTGCCACTCAGCTCGCTGACTGTCCTGTCAGGGGCGGGCGGTCAGACTGGGCCGTGCGGGGCGGTCCGGCCTCGTGGGCCTCTCCCCGAGCCGGGCCGGCCTCCGGGATTCAAGCGGAGGCGTTTTGGAAAACTAGGCGCCGTGCCAGCCCTCCCGGCCCTGGACAGTCCTCGACGCCCAGTACCCGAGCGGTCCTGGGAGGAGGCAGCGCCTCGCAGAGAGATGATCACTCTCCCCCTCTCTGTGCCAGCTCCCTCATCCCGGGGACGCATCCTTTAGGGATCTCAGTGAATCCCCGTGGGAAGGGTGTGTTAATTTTGTAAAGGAGGATGGAGAACTACAGGACATTGGAGCTGGCGAGGAAGGCGGGTGCAGGCACGCTGCTGACACCCCCTACCCCCGCACCCTGTGTTGGTTTCTCCTGTCCTCCTGCCATTGACCTCCGTCCATCTGCTCTTTCTTCTCTTCCTTGAGCTCATCTTTCTTCAAACCCTCAACTTGGCTTCTCTCCATCTTTAAACCTCTGCCTCTCTTTTTCTCCTTCCATCTTTCTCCTTCTCTTCCCCAGGCGGTCTCTTTTTCTCACTGTCCCACTTTTTTTTTTTTTTTTTTTAAATTTTGTGTGCGTGTACCGTCAAATCAAATCTGACTGGTACAGGAGGATATTGCGCCTCCTTCTCCGGCAGAGCATCTGGTGGATTCGAACCGTGTTCCCCTGGGATTGCAGTGCAGCTTCTTGCCACTAGGCCACCAGAGCTCCCCTCTGTCCCACTTTCTCTCTTAACAGGGTAGGTCCTTCTCTTTCTGCCTCTCTCATACTTTCAATTTCTGGTGGTGGTTTCCCCTCTTTTTTCCCAGTCTTCCTATCTTCTCTGTCCATGAGTTCTCTCTCTCTCTCTCTCACTTACTATGCCCGGTATCCCTGTTCTTTGGCCTCTTATGATTTCTGTTCTTTTCACCTGTCTCTGTTTCATTTTCCACGTTTGTCTGTCTTACACATGCTCCCTTTCCTTTCCCTCAAAGCCAAGCCCCCACACCTGGACTGAGTGACACTTTCAGGCAGTGTTTAGTCTCCTCGGTCCTTCCCACCTCTCTCTTTTCCATCTCCCAGTTTGGCATGTGGGGAATGAAGTTGGAGGGCTCTCTAGGATTTAGAACAGGGGTGGGGACTCACCCCTGGAGCCCTTGAGAGAAGCTGTACTAAATAAGGACCACTCCACCCCCCCCCCCCACACCTGTGCTCTTGGGAAGCGCTTAGCACAGTGCCTGACCCCAGGAAAACTCAGTAAAGTTTCCCTGTGTTGTGATTATAGTTTTGATGCTCACTGAGTTTTTTGCAGGGCTAAACCAGAGGGAAGGCTCCTGGCTGGAGGCTGTAGCAGAAGAGAACAGGTGTCTCCTCTGTCAGTCAGGGGCTGAGAGGAGGGGCCAGGAAAGCCAAAGACCTGGAGGAGCGGGCTCTGGGCTCCGTGGCAACTAAGAAGCCAAAGAAAACAGTGGTCAAAGAAACCCCGCTATTGTTCCCAGCTAAGCTCTGGCATTTCCTGCTGGAGCAGCTCCTCCCCCACACTGCTCTGCTTACAGCTGGAGATCTGTCTGTCCTTTCACGGATGGGCCCAGGGACCTTGCTCCCAGAAAGCCTATAACCGAGATTTCTGTTCTCTGGGGCCCAGGTCTTTGGGCTTGGAGTGAGGCAGGTCTAGACTGAGATGATGACTCCAAGGCCTTAGGGTCAGGATCTTCTCTCTTGAACTTGCTCCTGCTCTGCATCCTTCCTCCCTTTTGTTCAGCCTCTCTCCTCAGACACTATCTCTGTGAATCTACAGATGTCAAACTCCATCGAAGGAGCTGGACCACCAAGGGAAACTACCTGAGCACTTGAGCTCAGTCCTTTGCTCCTAACCAAAGTCTTTGACCTCCTGTGTGGTCTCTCAGCTACCTATGAAGAAACACTGGTTAGTGCTAAGATCACTCAGTGAGTGGAAGCCCGGAGAAGAGAATCAGACTGCCCACTGCAGGTGTGCAATGGGTCTGGGACCGCTGAAGACACTTGATCCCATCTGTCAGTGAGAGCAGCTGCTGCTGTTTCCCAGGCCTGTGCCTATAGCACCTTCCATCTCTCATTCTGTCCCTGACTTATCCTAAGACACTATGGAATTTGTTACTCTATCAGTAAACAGTCCCAGGGGAATACCTCTTTAAAACTTCCCTGGGCTGAGGCAGGGGTCTCCCCATTTGTGGCAGGCAAGACTAGAATAGAATAAAAAAAAAAAGCCTGTTGCTGCCAAATTGATTCAGACACACGAGGACAGAGTAGAAGCACAAGATTTTTAAGGGTGTCATCTTCACAGAAGGGGGCCCTGGTGGCATGGTATTTGTTTGACTTTTTATGGAATCTGACTGCCACTTCTTTCTCCCTCGAGCAGCTGATCAGTTTCCACTGCTGACCTTTATGGCAGGCACCTGAGGGCCACCAGGGTTCTTCTCCTGATGTAAACAACAAGTGTCATCGAGTTGGTACTGACTCATGGCTGACCTCCCAGTGGGTTTTCAAAAGCTCTGGTGCCTTACTGGTAAGGAGTTGCAGTACTACCCCAAAGGCACGAGGTTCAAATCCATCAGCTGCTCCAAGGCAGAATGAGCTCCTGTGCTGGGGAGTGGGGTTGGCTAGGAGTCGGTTCCAACTTGATAGTACCTAACAACAGTAACAACTAACATGAGAGATTGCCCATCTTTCTCTCTTCGTAGGTTCAAACAGTGTGCCTTTGAATCAGTAGCACAACTCCTTAAACATTAGGCCATCCTGAATTCCCTGGGAGAAACTGAAGACTCAGGGATTCTGGGCTGGGAGAGAAATGAAAGTCATGGGGAGCAGATGATGCCTTGAAAACTCTATATGTTCTCGGTGTTAGGGAAGAGTCATTCCACAAAGATGTTACTCAGCACACACTGGACCAAACACAGTTCTAGGCAGGTGTGAGTTAAACTGATACCATTTTATGCCCTTGTGAAGCAGATAACCTTGTAAGATGACAGAAAGCAATCAATAGACCTGTATAAATGATATGGAATGAAAAACCTACTGTTCCCTGCTATCAAGAAAATTCCAACTCACAGTGAGGCTTTAGCGGTTTTGAGATGGTGTAAATCTTTATGTGAAAAGACTTTCTTTCTCCTTTGGAGCAGCTGGTGGATTTGAACTACTGATCTTGCTGTCAGCAGCGCAATGTGAAATGTCACCAGAATTCTTTAAGGAGGTTGATAAATGCTATGGGGAAAATAAAATCATGTTAAAGGAGCCTGGGTATCCTATGGTAATGTTGTGCCTGTCTATGTAATTTTAAATGAGATGTTAGATCAAATAAAAGAAATATTTAAAGAATATGCTGTTATAAACTTATGGAGATAGTGACATTTGAGCAAAGACTTGGAGGAGACCAGGAAGGAGATATTAAGAATCATATTTCAGACCTAGGGAACATGCTGGAAGAGTACGGGGGATGAGGACAGAAGAAGTGGGTGTGTTCTCTGCTCTTCGAATGCCACCCAGCCTGCCCATGTCTTGATGGCCTCTTAGCAGTGCCACATACAACACAAAGCCAGGAATGGCCATTTTTATTTTCTTTCAGTTGTTGTATTGTTTTGTTTTATTATATTATATGGTTGGTTATTGTATTATATTTTCATGAGAGAGTGTTTACAGATCATACTGTTTTTTTATTCAATCATTCAAAAGTGCTTCATTTTATAACATGAATTATTAATCCAATTAATTAATTACAGTGTCTAATCAACCTGGGATGCCCATTTTGGCTTGGACCGTCTCTCAGAGAGAATGGTGTCTGTCTCCATGGGCCTCCACATTCAGCATCTTATTGACTGTTGAAATCCCTCGTGCACCATCTCCAACTTTTAGATGGGCTTTTAGGATGCACCAGTCTGGCTTCTGGCACCTTGAACTGTATTGACTGCTTCCAAGCTGTGGAAGAAATGCTGACAAATTATCTGATCGAATGAGACTTTATTGAGTGCTTACTATATGCAGAGCACTGTATATATACTTACTATATACAAGACTCACTAGGGAAGGTGGACCAGAGGAAACCATGAAAGAACTGCAGCCTTCCTGCCTCTAAAGGGCTTACAATCTTGTTGGGAGACATTGTATATATACAACATCTTAAAGATACAAAACAACATCAAAGTAATATTTACAGGCACAAAGTCATTTGGCGCAAAGTAGGAATGAATGTTGCTAGGCCAGAGGTCAGTCACGTCTTCCTCTTCTCTAACCTCAGCCTGGGAACCTGGTGGCCTGTGCACTGATCCCCAAGCCACCTTGCCTCTGTGTACTTTAGGGCTATGTCTGACTTCAGTCGTCTCTAGATTGACAGAAATAAGCTATGCTCTCATCATCATTTCGTCTTGACGCTGCTGCTGTCCCTCTGGCTCTGTGCTTACCACAAGATAGTAGTGGGTTGCCCTGGGCAGACCTATTACACACTCCAGTTCTTATAGGAACTCCCAGGAGGACCCTAAGGCTTGCCTCAGTGTAGGCTTGGTCTCTCTTGAGATGGGATTTTGGACTAGAAGGCCTGAGTTCAAATCCTTTCTCCACTATATACTAGCTGTGTGACCCTAGGCCAGTCTTTAAGCCTCATTTTTCTAAATGGGAAGAATAATGTTTTCTCTGCCTATCTCACAGGATAGGGAGATAAACACAGGAGAGGACAGAGGGTGCTTTGGAAATGGTGAAGTGCTGTGTGGCTAAGAACTATTTTTCTTCTATAACCTGCTTAAAGTTTTAGGATTAAATGAGCTAATGCATGCACCTACATGGTGACTAGGGCCCAAGAAATGCTCAACAGGTGTTAGTTCTCCTCCACTTCCATCACTTTGAATCCTGCCTTGACTTCTGAAAGGATCCCTGCAGGGCAAAAATAGTTTGTGCTGGGCTACTAATAGAAAGGTCAGTTGTTTGAATCCACCCAACGGTGCCACAAAAGAAAGGCTTAGTGATCTGTTCCCATTAAGATTACAACAACGAAGCCCCCGGGAGCAGTTCCACTCCGTAATACTTGGGGTCACTAGGAGTCAGACTCGATTTGGTGGCAGCAGATTGGGTTTCAAGTTTTTTGACCTTTGATTCCAGTGAATTCCAAGAAGTAGAGCAGAAATAGACATGCTGGGTTACCGTCCAGAGGGGTTTGCTAGGATGAAGTGGGATAAGAATAAGGTGCTTTGGGTACATCCATGCTGGACTCAAAAACCCTTGTTGCCTTTGAGCTTCCTGAAGTAGGACACTCATTTGCCAGTAGCAGAGTCCTGGAGGTGACCTTGACCTCTAACTTGACACCCCCTCTCCCCATCATGAGACTAGGTGGCTGTCACAGCAGTGGAAGGTGTAGAAGAGTCATCTCTGTAGCATTCATGTCCCAGGGGAGCCCTTTTCTGACTCTACAGGGAACTTTCCTTAAGGAAGTCAGGAAAGGGCACAGATGAGGACAGAGGAGGCAGGGTGGTGATTACAGAAATGTTCCTGTCACAGAGGAGGTGGGCAGCCAGAGGAGGCAGGGGCTGGAGACTTGGTGCCTGGGACTCCGCAGCTGCTCACGTAGCCTTTGCTGTGCTGCCCAGTGACAGACACAGAAAGCCTTGGAGGTGACAGAAAGTGTGAAGAAGGAGGTTCAAAGTGCGATCTTATGTAGCAGGCTGATGAGAAAAAGGGAACATGAACAACCCATGGGGTGTGAGAAAGAATAGGAAAAGAGCCACTATGAGCCCAGAGTCAGGACAAGTCAAGAGTCTGGACAAGGACGGTCAACCCCAAATCATCTTCTGCTTGGCCCTTGGGTGCCCAGGGCCCCTTTTCTCATCAACCATTGATTCAAGTGGAGGAAGCTGAAAATCAGGCTCCACTGTGGCATGCTTTCCCTCCCCCCGAAACAGAAACAATGAAAATGATCTTAATAATGTGTGGTAATGGTATTAGGAATGAAAGCTCACACAGGCGCGTTTACATGCATCATCTCACTTAATCTCATTTGAGAATTATTACACTGGCCCGGAAGTTTAGAAGCCTTCAACCTAGACTTGGAAATGCTTCTTCATGGAAAAGCCATTTTTCTTCTGTTGGTGGATCTTGAAAATGCCAAGCCACTCTCTTCACAGGACTATCCAGTGGCAGAAGCTGGACTAAGGCTGGGGTCACTGGCCTGTGAGAAGGGAGAGGGAGGACAGGAAACAGAGATTCCTGGCAATGAGGAGTTACTGCCTGGGGGAGAGGGCAGCTATGTGACGGGTGATGGGGGGGCGTTGCCTGGTGCCCCTGGCCGAATGCCTGAGCGCCTTTCCTGGCCTCCTGTAGGTGTGTGCTAGGTGAGAGAGTGAACTTGCGAAATCAGAGTTTCCTTTCAAGAAGTGTCCAGTTGCAAATCTCCCCCTCTCCCAAGACAAAGGCCAGGGGCCCACAAAGGTCTTTTGTTTTCTCGGCCACAGTAGGAGGCTAATCTCTGGGCTTGGGGACTCCTGGAGGTGGGGGTCTGCTGCTCACACATACACATCTGGACAGGTTCTTCCTTAGAACAGAAAGGATGTCCTTTGGCACAGAGGCCACTTCTGGGGGTGCCTTCTCCGGCTGGCATCACGCTACCTCCAGCAGTGGATCCTCCAGCAGCGGATCCTGGCAAGTGTTGGGGCCCAGGTTTCCAGGAGAGGCAGAGTAAGGAGTGGAAACCACTGCCCACCAGTCTCTCCCCTTCTTCTGTGGGGCTCTTTCCTTGAAGCTGCTAGGGTTGACTGGCAGCAGAGTCCAAGGCAGAGGAAGTGGATTTATTGCAGGTTGGGGAGGAAGGAGGCCAACAGGCCTCTTAAACCTCCACAGTGCACCTGTTCATCAGGCACATGCATAACCTTGCACGTGGGGATACAGACACGTGCACACTAGCAGAATCATATACACCATTCCTAGACATATCAAAGCTGGTGGCTGTGCATTCCAGGCTCCCCAGCTCTGAGGGCAGGCTCTTCAGACGTTCCCTGCCCTCCTCCAGCACTGAGACTTTCTCACAAGCTGCTCTGGTCTCCAGCTCCTCTCCAGGCCCAGGTTTGATCTCTCACAGTCGACAGACACTCTCACACTCAACAGCCCTAATTCTTAAGTTTCTGCGTTTTTGCTCCCAGACCCCGTGCCCCCCACCCTACTCATAGCTCCTCAGCGGCGAGCCGCGTTCTAGAAGCAGCTTTGCACCGGGACCAACTTCTGACGTGGGGGAGAAAAGGAACAGGCGGGCCCTTCCACTTCAGGGCCCTGGAAGGGAGGTGGGTGTCCCCAAGCCTGGGACGCAACCTCCAGCCGCACAGGCGATCACTCTGAGCTCCGCTGATCCTCCCTCCGTCTGTCTGTCCGTCCGTCGGTCTGGAGGCCCTTGAGGCCTGGGCTGTACGCTCAGGCCTTGCTGCCGCGCGGCAGGCTCTGCGGTGAGTGCAGCTCCACCGACTGCCGCCGCCGCACCTCGCGCTCCTCCCAGTCGGTGTCTGGCTCCAGCCCTTTGAGCACCGCCAGGCGCTCCGCCATGCTCTTGGAGTGCGGGAACAGGACGTAGTTGTAGATGAGGGAGCCCAAGATGGCACCGACCAGGGGTCCGATCCAGAAGACCTGGGGGCGAGAGGAGAGGTCTGGGCACCAAGCGCAGGGAGGGCGGGTCTCCATTCCCTGGCCTGGCCCCTTCCCTCACCAGGCTGAAGCATGGGGCCAGGAGGTGGGTGCGGGGCACACATGGCCAATGAACCCCTTATTCCAACCAAGCTTGCAATACACAGTGTGGGCCCAAGGATGTTCTTCTCTCTCCATTTATGGGCACCTTTGAAGTGGAAAGGGTGTCACACACGTTAATGCACTGTAATAAAGCACTTCTTCATGTGGTTAGTGATGGAGTACTTGCCCTGGTGGGGCAAGCACCGCTGCTACCTGCTACATGGAGTCAATTCCAATTCAGTGACCCGATAGCACTGAGTAGAACTGCCCAACAGTTTTCAAGGCTGGTGGCTTAGTGCTAAGAATTTGCACTGCCAACCCAACGGTCCTTGGTTTGAATCCACCAGCTGCTTTGTGGGCAAGGTCCTCTCCAGAGATTTATTTCCCCTGAAAATCTGCTGGAGGGTCAGCTATGAGTCGATTCCAAGTTGATGGTAAACAACAACAACAACAACGACAACAATCTTTATGGAAGTTCTGGCTGAGCAGTCCATTAACTTGGAGTTTGAACCGTGTAACCTCCCATTAGCAGCACAGCTCTTACTCACTGCACTTTCTGGCATTTTGCTACTCAGTGGGGTCTCCAGGAAAGGCCTGGTGATCTACTTCTAAAAAAAACCGCCACTGAAAACTCTAGGGAGCACACCTTTACACTGACACACGCTGGCCACCATGAGTCAGAATCAACAATTGATGGAAATTGCTTGGTAACTGGGCATGACAACACCCGGTGCAGGGGAATGTGTGTCAGTGTGGTGACGAGGGTGTGAGCTCCGAACGACCTGTGAACACAGACACGGTTCTTAACCTTCCTGTGCTTCAATTTCCTTTCATTAGAAATACCTACCTCCTCAGGTTGTTGTGAAGATTAAAGGAGCTATTTTTGCAAAATACTTAGAAAATGGCCTAGCATACATATCTTATTCACTAGATAAGTGATTAATCATAAAATAATTGTTAGTGATAAGAAGCTGTGCTGTGATCTCAAAGGCACACGGTTCGAGTCCACCAGCTGCTCTGAGGGAGGAGGATGGGCAGTGTCCCCCCCCATATGATTTACTGCCTCTGAAAACCCTCTGGTGGGTCAGCAATGGGTCAGTTCTGACTCAGTAGCACACAACAATAACAATGATAAAGAAATAAATGTACTGACTTCTAGGTGCCCGGCAGTGCGCGCTCTGTTTTACACGGACAATCTCACTTGATCTTCTCAGGAAACCAAGAAGGAAGAAGCCTGCTCTTATCCTTTTACAGACGTGGAAAATTGAGTCTTTGGCATCAGACTGGAGAGGTGAAGCCCAGAGCTTTGTAGGGCCCTAGCACGAGTATGAGAGGTTTGGGGTGCATCTGTTGAGCCTCCCACCCCATCCTGGATCACCCTTGTTCTTTTTCTGAGTTGTATTTCTGGGGAGGCGGTAGGGAGGGTTCAGTCATTACCCAGTGGTCATCAAACTTGCCGACGATGACAGCCGGACCCAGGGATCGAGCAGGATTCATGGAGCAGCCAGTGTAGTGGATCTACAATGGGAGGTGGGGGCCAGGGAGAAAAGAGAGATGACGATAAGGTGGGGAGTCCTTGACCCCAATGCATGAGCTCAGCCTGTCTAAGGGAGATGAGACAAATCAAAGGGAATTGATGCAATGGACAATTAAATGAAAAACTCATTGCCCTCAAGCCAGTGCCGACTCACAGCTGACCCTGTAGCAGGTTTTCCGAGGCTATGAATCATATAGAAAGATATTGTCTTCTTTTTCGATCACCAGAGAGGTGCCACCTTTGGGTTTACAGTACAACTCCCAACAGTCTATGTCACCAGAGCTCCCCAGAGATAATTAAGGTCATGTTGTATTTTCAGGGCTCTATATTAATTTATCTGGAAGTACAAGTGGCATCCACTTCCTAAACAACAATCCTCTGGAAACTCCACGAACTTTGATAAATGTCAATAGTTGTAGAAAAGCTTCAGGCCTTTTGTTCATAGGGTCCGTATGAGTCGTGCTCGTCTCGATGGCAGTCAACAACAACAACATATTGATTTAAAAGAGTTCTAATGGTCTAGTGGAAGGAGCTGCACTGTCAGTCTAAAGGTGGTTGTTGTTGTGTGCCATTGAGTTAGCACTGACTCATAGCTGATCCTCCAGCAGATTTTCAGAGGCAGTTAATCGCATGGAAGGGGATTGCCCCTTCTTCTCCCATGAAGCAACTTGTGGATTCGAATTGCACATTTTTAGGATTGCAGAGCAGATTAGCAATCTCTTCCTGTGCTATTTACTAACTCTGAAAACCCACTGGAGAGTCAGCTATGGATCTAACTCCCCGGTACACAACAACATAGTCATTTGAGAGAGTTACCTGTTAACCCAAAGACAGGTGGTTCGAAGCCACCAGCTGCTCTATGGGAGAAAGATGGGCAACTCCTCCTGTGCGATTTATTACCTCTGAAAACTGAGGGTCAGCTATGAGTTGTTTCTGACTTGATGGAACAACAACAACAACATATTAATTTGAGGCCAGAATGACAGCTGCCTGCTGGAGTGTACCGAGTTTTAAGCCACTCTGTGGAATGTCATCCTCTCTGTCCTGTGAGTTCTGTTTTCTCTACAGACACATTTGTGTCTTGCACTTTTGAGATTCTGTGTGTCTATTTCTAGAGTGGTTTATGTGACTGTTCTTCTTGAGAGACTGAAGGCAATGGCTACGACTTACCCCCAGGAGGTGGCCCAGGGTCACAGAGAAGCCGATGGAGAGGGCGGGGGTGCCCAGGTTGTCTCCACGGCGGTCATCGGTAGAGGCGAAGATGCAGAGCACCAGCTGCAGGGTCAGGAAGAGCTCCACAGTCACAGCCTGGCCAGCTGTTGTGTTGTTGTTGAGCTGAGGACAGAGAGGGAGTGCAGGGGAGACATTGAGGACAAGCCCCATCCTGGCTCTATTCCTGTTCATTTGTTTGTGGTAGAGAATCCTTGGAGGCCCTCATCGGGAGCTGGTTTACCCAGGCTCTCCAGCCACCTTAGCTTGAGCTACTGAAGGATGCTTCTGGGCCCCAGACCAGGAGCGGGGAAATGGGTGCTAGGACCACCTGTGCCTTCCAGCCAGACATAGGAAGACCCATTAGGATTGGATGCTGAGGTTGTGTGCCTGAAGCTGTGAGATGAAAAGGACACTGTCAACTAGAGTTTCTGTTTCCTAAAGAATAAGGCTTCAGGGATATTATTAGGAGGTGCCAATCCCTGGAGAAAGACATCAATCAAGTAGTGGGTCAGCAAAAAAGATGATCTTCAATGAGATGGGTTGACGGCTGCAATAGTGGGTTTATGCACAGGTGGAGCTAACTCAAAAGTACCTAACAACAGAGAACAAGAAGTGAAGGTGTTTCCATTACAGTAGGAAGCTTTTGGCTGGGTAATAGGAAGGGCTTCTTCTCTGTCTAGGCCATAATATGCTTGTGTAATGAGAAGACTGTGGTCTTGTCTTCCTGTGGTCAAAGAAACAGGGACAGTGTCTAGAGAGTGGCATTGAGGCCGTGGTCCTAGCATGCCCCTTTTATGGTGAGTCGGGGACAGTGTCTAGAGTATCACACTGAGAAGTGGTCCTAGCATGCCCCCTCTTCGGGGGTGTCCGGTGTACAACTTGCCCCTATGCATTTCCTGTTTCCCGTGGTTTCAGTTTTGCACTGTGAGTTTGCCCCTCACTCCTCCTGCAGAAGATATGGTGTAGGTAAGGGAGCCCTCCATTGTGACGCCTCTGTGTCCACAGAGTGCCCATGGTTCCCCTTCTTTGGGTGGGAAGAGAACTTGAGGACAGGCCAAAGAGGTGCTTTTGTACCTGGGCCTCACCCAGCACCGGGTTTCTTCCTAAGTTTTACCATCCTTTGCACTACACCCTGCCCTCTGGGACTGGGCACTGTGCTGGGTGGAGCTCTGACAGCTCTTGGCTCTCATACCCCTTTCTCTGGGCCCTGCACCCACTTCCACCCCTGGATCGTAGTTGTTGAGCTGGTACCCTAAATCCTATCGTCCAATGGCAGAGCCTCTAGTGAAGGCAGCTCAAAGAATTTGGACCTTTATGATTTGTGGGATTTTATACACTTCAGTCTCAGTTTCTTCTTCTGTAAAATGGGAATCAAACACCTTACTACACAAATTCTGGAGGATGGTAGGAGGATTGGAGGTGACAAGGGCAGAGTGCCAGCTCCCTGTCTGTTGACAAATGACTGTCCTCAGGTAGATGGTGGAAACATAGCTTTGACTTCAGATAGCCACTAAGTGACATCCTTTTTGCCACTTATACTGGTTTTGTGGTTTGGGGGTAATTGGATGCTGAGCCTCAATTTACCTCTGAGTGATAGAGAGTCACAGGCTTGATCTTACAGTATGTACCAAGGAGGAAGTTACATCTGGCCTGACACAGAGCAGGTGCACATCTGGCATCTTGAGGCCAGATTGGCCTTCCCAAACCTCTCAGAGGAGACCCAGACAGCCCTGGGGTCATCCCAACTTCCCCTAGCCTCAAAGTAGGCCAGCCCTGTCACTGCCCTATGGTCAGGATTCCCCTCCTTTCCTCAAGATGGTAAATGCTAGGCAATAGCTTGAGGGGACTGCCCAGACGCTTCCCTTCTGAGACCTTCAGTAAGACTATGAGGTAATGGCTTGGGGATGGCCTGTTAGTGTCCCAAGGACCCGCTGTGAAACAAAGAGCAACCTCAGCCTGCTTCTCGAGGTTTTCTACGCCATCTTCCTGGTAAGTTTCTCTCTCTTTCTGACTGGACTCATCTTTGCTGTACATTGAACTAGTTTTTTCCCAGCTGAAGGGGCATGTTCATCATTCTGTCCACCACACTGGCCACTCTAGCGTTTTTCCCAGGCCTGGGCTCTCAGACACTTGTGTTTTTCATTCTGAAGAGGAGACTCATTCTCCAATTGAGAGAGGGTCACTTGTGTAGATGAGGAGACCACAGAGACGTGGAGGACGGAATGCACTGCAGAGACATCTAAGCCCTTATTCAGTGGCCCAAGGCAATGGGGGAACCCAGGGCCCAAAAACGACTGTCGCAGTCTGGGGTGGGGGTGAGGAGACTACCCTTCACCGCTCCCATCCCAGGAGAGGTGGAAGAAGGGAGGTGTGAGGAAGAGGGAGACAGTGTCACCCTCAGCTCCCAAAGTTGCCCAATTAGTCCCTGTAACATGTGGTCAGCATTTAGCTCACCGGCTCCAGGGACCTTCTCCAGGGTCTAGAGAGACCTTTCTCTTGGGTTCCAGGCCTTTTACTAGTATCAGCAAGCTGTGAAACTTTTACACCATAATGTCCACTCACCGAGCCTAAGCTCTTGGCAAAATAAGACTTAGAAGATGGGTTAGGAAGGAAACATTGGTCAGCTGAGAAGGTCATGGATTTGGTGGCCAAGCCCGAGTTTGAGCAGGGGAGCTGGCCATGGGGTCCAGTACACAGTAAATGCTGAGGAGCACATGGGCCCTTTCTCTGGGGTTCCATCTAGTCCAAAAAGCACTTTTGCTTTAGGGCTCCATTTCCTGGCATGTTTCAGCCCGGTCCTCACTGTAAGGCAGGCTTCACTGAGGCCTCAGTGCTGTTCTTCCTCCGGGAGGCTCAGGGCAGGAGCTACCAGCTGCCTCATTCTTCTCCTGCCTCTACTCTGACGATATTTTTCTTGTACTAATTTTCCTATGGCAGCTGTTCCTGACTTCGGCCTTGCTCTTTTCTCTTTTTCTCTCCCCTTTCAGCCCTTCACCCTCAACAGACACTCATCCTTTACACAACCCCTGATCTTCCCCATGTAGAAAGACTGAAGTTCCAGCTACTCACAGCATTGATAGCCAGGTCCCCGCGGATGTCTTCTGGCGTGAGCTTGTGGAGCAGGGCAGCTCCTGCCACAGCCCCCAGCAGCTGGGCAGCCACATAGAAGGTGGCTCGGAGAAAGGAGACATGGCAGCCCACCAGGCAGGCCACAGTCACGGCAGGGTTGATGTGAGCCCCGCTGATGTGGCCCAGCGTCTGCACCAGGGTGCCAATAGCCAGGCCAAAAGCCATGGAGATCTGCAGTACGGTGGGGATGGGGAAGGTGCTTGGCCATTTGAGGGCTGAGCCCAGGCCAAAGAAGACGAAGAGGAGCGTAGCCAGGAACTCAGAGAATACGGCCCTGGAGAAGGCTATGGAGCGAAGCTCCCACATGCTGCGGAGCCTGCCCTGGGCCAGCAGAGAGGTCTCGGGGCAGCAGGCCTGCAGCTTTCTGCTCTCTCTCTCTCAGGGTCTCTGGAAGGCTCAGTCCTGGGCATTTATAGGGTTCTTCGAGCTAGAATCTGGGCACGTGGGACGGAGGTGGAGTTTAGTCCAATACCTACCCCCTCACTCCAATGGCTGCCCCCTTCCCCCACTCCCCACTCACCTGCATGCCTATCACCCCATCTCGGCATTCACAGCTGACTAATGTTCCCCATTACTGAGCTCCAGATAAGCATTGACGTCCCGGGGTTTTCCGTGTTTGTTCCCTCTGCTATCCGAGGGCTGCTGCCCCATGGCCTCTCCCTAACCCCTTTCACTCCCCTCTAATTCTATGAAAGGGGACTCCCATGGGGGCTGTGTCCAATCCCCTCTCTCTGACTCAAAACTGTTGGCCAGTACTATGCCAACGCCTCATCAAAAATTGACCACAAAAGATGTCGAAGTGATGCCTTCTGTTGATGGCAAAGTCCTTGTGGCTGTTTGACCTCTGATTTTCCCTTCTTGGTGAGAATGGAAAACAACTGGTTGGCTCGTGACAAACATTCTAAGGCATATAAAGATTTTATTGTCTTCTTCTGTGCTTGCTTTCTTGCAGTCACTCACCCATAAAACTTTAAGCTTTCTTCTCCTCCTCCCTGGAACCAAGGCCAATGGCAGTGCCCACAGCCTGGGCACGGGGGGATGGATGCCGTGGCCACTGGGGCCCTGGCCCTGGGTGATGGAGTCAACCTGGGTGGCCTAAGGAGGTTGGGCTCCTTCATCCAACTTTACCCCTTCTATCTCTGTGACTTAACCCTTCTTGTCCTTGTCTGTAAAATGGGAACAATAGCAAAACCTACCTCATGAGGCTGAGGTTTGAGTTAAACAAAATAATGTATGCAAAGTGCTCAGAGCAGCAAAATTCCCTTGGAAACATGCAATAAATTTTAGTTATTACCAGTAATAGTGTGTATATTCTGAGGAGAAAAGATCTTTGTACATTCACAGGTCAGGGTTCTGGAAGCAGCCCCCCAACCACCCCAAGTTCAAAGACCCAGCCAACAGGGTCAGGGCATTTCTGTGGGCAGTGAGCTGTGCAGGCTCCAGAAGGCTGCAATGACCGATAAGTGAGCCTGGCTTCAGTGCCCAAGCAGTATGGCCTCAGGCAATGACCTTAATGCTGGAGCCCAGGAGATGCTTGGGTCTGAGAGTTTTCAAATACCCTTCCAGCCCTTCCCTGATCCCAACAGTCCTATCATGAAAAACATCTCCTTTTTGTCCTCTCCCATGGACCCCAAGGGAGGGTGAGGCACACTGGGGTCAGGAGGTTTGGCAGGCCCTCAGGCAAGTCCCAGTCCCAGGAGCAGAAGTCTTACAGGCCTGTCTATTGATGGGTTGAGGAAGCTCTCATGGCCTAGTAGTAAGGAATTGTGTTACCAACCTGAAGGCACTTGGTTTGAATCTACCAGCTGCTCTTGGGGAGAAAGATAGACAATCTCCTTCTATTTAATTTACAGCCTTTGAAAACTTGCTAGTGGGTCAGCTATGAGTTGATTTTGATTTGATGGCAGATAACAACAGCAATAACAATTGTTGAGCTGAAAGTTGAGTTCCAGAGATGAGTTCAGTTCTGGGCTTGAAGAATGCATATGGCCAGAAACTCAAGGGCTCCCTCAGTATCTGTCAGATGGGTAGTCTGGTATTTTCACTATTATTTTTAGTACTGCGCCACATTGCTCTCTCAATCTAGACAAGATTCCCATTGTGATCCCTTTCTGAATGGTCAGCAGTGGCAGCAGGACACCATCTAGTTCTTCTCAGGCTCATTAAGGCTGGGGCTTGTTGTTTCCACACTCTTTGATTTTCTTTACTCTCATTTTCTCTAGGTGGCTAGAGATGAATAGTTATACTTTTAAAGAAGAGCTTCTTGTGAGTTCTTTTCTCCGATATATTCCCAGTGCCTAGAACCTGACATCAGAAGGTCCTCAAACCTCTCTTGAATGAGAATAATGACTTGGTAATTAACCTCAACCCTTTATAGGAGACTGGACTGAATCCAAATGAAGTGGGGTCTGGGGTGGGTGCCAAAGACTTCATAACCCCTTTCTACCCACTTACCCACTCTCTGATTCTAGCACTAAATGTGTTTCCAATGACACCAGGAAAATTCCCCCTTGTATCTGCCTGCCCCTTTTCTTTCCCAGGAGAAAGTTCTTGCTTGGCACCATGATACCTGCCCCCAGCTGCCACTCCTCAACCTCAGGCACTTCAAATATTCTGGGAAGGTATTCCAAGGGTGGAGAAACCCCAAACCTCACTTGTGGAGGGGACCCACCCCCAGACTCAGCACTTAGAAAAAGACTCAGAGGGGTCTGGCTTGACTATCTCATCTGAGGAGTGAGGCCGTCTCACTTTTTCTGTCCCTTCCTACATCACTTCTCCTGACCCTCAGACATATTTCCCATGCCAAACCGAGCTCACTTCATGCTTGAGATGTGAGTCTCCAGAAAACTTCTTCATGGGCCTCAGATGAGCTGAAGTGGAGATAATAGTTTCCCAATTGACCCTCAGTCACTGAGCTGCTATGTGCTCTTGGATGAGTCACTTAGCCTCTCTGGCCTCTCCTTTATAATGAATGTATGTATGATCTAGAAAGCAGTCCACCTGTGATTCTGGGCAAGACATCTCCCAATCTAGCTCGGTGAAAGTCCCATACCTTCCAATAAATGGAGAAGAGGCATCCTCTTTGTATCCCAACAAGTTGAAGTCTGTGTGTGTGTGTGTGTGTGTGTGTGTGAGAGAGAGGGAGAGAGAGAGAGAGAGAGAGAGAGAGAGAATTCAGTTACAATCATAGAATTTAAAACCCACAGGGATCCTAGAGACTATCTAGTCGTTTTATAACTAGAAAATGAATTCCCAAAAGACTGTGATTTGCCAGGTCACACAACTTACAGTGACTGTCAGGACTTGGCTCAAGTTCTGACCCCAGATTTGGAAGAGAGGAGGCTCCCAGCAATGACTACACTCCCACTTGTGGCCGTCTTTGACTCTTCTTAATAAAAAGCAGGAAGAAAGTGTTGCTGTCAAATCGGCCTGACACAGGCCACCTTTGAGGAGGCCAGCAAAGCTCCTCCTCTGAGTGCTACACTGTGTCTACTGCAATTGTCACGTTGGTTTCATTGAGCCCATAGTGTCATCAACACACACTACTAGCTAGCGTATGGCAAAATGTTTTCTTACCACTTGGCACTTTATTATTGAGACAATTATTTTAGATTCAGCTGGCTATCTGTACAATCAAAATCACTCTTGGACATTATAAAAGGGGATATTGTAAGCAAAAGAAATTGGCTACATATTCCTAAAGCATCTTTCAGATTCTAATCCTTCCCAAATTTCTTTTTGATTCGGACTCTTAGATATTATTCTGCACACTATCACTCTGTATGTTATCACGGGTGTTGGTGATAGAAAAAAAATTAAAAAAATGTTAAAAAAGATTGTCCACTCTTGTTTCTGGTGGCCTAGTGGCAAGAAGCTGTGCTGCAATTCCAAAGGTATGCTGTTCAAATCAACTAGCTGCTCCATGGCAGAAGGATGGACAATCTCCTCCACGCTATTAACTGCCTCTAAAAACCCACTGGAGGGTCAGCTATCCATCAGTTCTGACTCACTAGTACATAACAACAGCAACAACAACTCTTGTTTCTATTATTTCTTTTTAAACCTCAAATATCTAGCCTGTAAGTTTGTCCAAGAGTGTTTTCTGGCTTCACATGGCAGCCCATCACTTTGTCCTTTTCTCTGAACCTTGTCCTCTCTTATAATAAAATATGACACAGTTACTTGTGGGGCTCATCCTTCTTAAGGTCCCATAAAGTACTGGCTACTACTTGGCAGGAAAATATGGAGTTGTGGTTTTTTTCAATGCTGAAAATTATTTGCTCCACTAATATAAAATTCTTGGTGTGTTCCTCCACTTCCACACCTTCCTGTATACACAATAACGTTGTTTAAATGCTAAACCACAGCGTAATCTTTTTGACATTTTCAACAGCAATTATTCTGAACAGGTATAAGGATGAGAAGGCAGGGAACTCAGCTGACTAAGCTTAGATATGCACAGGTGGTGACCACAAATCTTGACTGCTTAGAGATGCCATCAGTTGTTAAAAAAATTAGTTTGTGAAAATGGTACATTTTGGAGTTGCTAGAATACAGACATAATAATGTTAAACAACTGTCCTGTGCTTACTCTGTTATGTACTGTTCTAGACCCTTTTTGCATTAACTCTCTGAGAACTGAGACACAAATGGAGATTTGTACACCAATGTTCATAGCAGCATTAATCACCATCACAAGAACATGGAAACAGCTCAAATGTCCCACCACAAACAAATGGATTGAGAAATTATGGTATATTCACACAGTGGAATATTATGCAGCATGCAGGAGCAATAATTTTGTAAATTATTATCTAGCTTGGGAGGAACTGGAGAGCATTAAGCTAAGTGAACTAACTCAGTCCCATAAGGATAAATATTGTATAAAACCATTATTGTAGAATGAGTATAAGGATCCAAGAGGGGTGGGAAAGGGTGGAAGCAGAGGGATGAGGATGTGCAGGGGAAGGGGAGATTAATCATGGGGTTGCACAATTTGATGGGTTGGTGGGGGGGGGTGAGGGAAATGGAAAAAATCTGTTCTCAAAATCAATGTATTCGAATTTTGTAAATAAACTAGTATAAAATAAAAAATATTTACAACAACAATATTATAGGTTAAATATTATCCTCTTTAAAATGTAAAAAAAACCCCCAATCAAACCCAAAAGCTTTGCCATTTAACTATTTTTAAGTGTATAATTCAATGACATTTTTGTTGTTATATGCTGTTGAATCGCTTGCGACTAATAGCAACCCTATGTACAACAGGTCTGAACCCTCTTCTATCCTGTGCCAACCTCATCGTCTCTGGCACATCCACCCCCGCCACCCCAGTCAC